AGCTTTTGCACCCAGACAGTTTTTCCAGAACCTGTCATCCCAGCCACGATGGCAGTAAAGGGGTGGAGTAACTGAAACCGATCACATGAGTTTTCTACAGCTGTATTGGTTTTAGGGTAGGGAGTAAACCGCTGACCTCCTTTCTGATTTCTATTCTGACCTAACCAGTTTGATCTCTGTGACTTGTCCAACTTATGAGTGCGACTCATATGAGTATATATGTTCTTTTGTGGCTTGGCGCAAATTGGACAGCTCCGTTCCATGTCGTGTCAAAAAGAGAATGAGACGTAATCATCCAGGAAGGTTTTATTTATTCAAATTCCCTTAGCTAATCAATCTATACTCGAATCTAAAATAAGATTTAGATAAAAAGGGAGTATAGAAAATAGAGTATAGAGTTGTACATTTAAAAAAGTAGATGAAATGGATGAAATTACTGAAGTGATTGGTCCAGTATCTTAGAGTCTATTCTAGAATCTAGAATCTATGCTTCTGGAATCTATACTTTTAGAATCTATACTTCTAGAATCTATATAGTAGAATCTATATAGAAGAACCTATACTATTATCTATTATCTATACTAGAATATATAATAGGTAGAATCTATACTAGAATCTATAGTGTTTACTAAAATTTATACTAGAAAATAGTATAATAGCAGTATAAGACTAGAGTAGAGTATAGAACCTATACTACATACACTAAAGTCCAGAGTCTATACTAGAATCTAGAATCTAGAATCTAGAATTTAGAATCTAGAATCTAGAATCTAGAATCTAGAATCTAGAATCTAGAATCTAGAATCTAGAATCTAGAATCTAGAATCTAGAATCTATACTGTCTAGTAGAATTCATAATTAAATTTATACTAGAATCTAGAATGTTTGCTAGACTTTATACTAGAATCTATCTTGCTATGTCTGAAGAAGATATAAATGTCGTCGTTTTCTCTAGTTTTATTTCATTGCAAGCAACCGCCCGGACAGACAACATGAGCCAATTAATMTGTAAGCAGTTTGGTTATTTATGTCACTTAAGTAGTTGCTCTTCACACCAAAAGAGCCTTTTACTAACCACCRCAACTCCAGAACAAGTTCATGCCATCTGTGAGGTTTGCTCAAATCTCTTGAAGGGCACAATACCCATTTCCCATGATCAGAAAGAAAGACTAAGAGAGCATGTGGAAGAAATTCGAAATTTAGCTGACTCATCAATTCCTTTTAAGAATAAGAAAGAAATTATTGCTCAACGAGGAGGTGGTTTTGTCTCTGATGTGGTATCCCCTCTCATGTCAGCCTTGGGCATGTTTTTGGTTTRAAAGATTCAGCAATAAAGAAGAAAAGTCATTTCAAGGTTAGCACTCAGAGGRAGCAACATGAAGCGTTCGAGGAGCGATTCTGAAGAAAGCGTTGCTTCAGACACTGACAGTGACATTTTTGAGGATGACGATATTGAAGACATTTTGCATGATATTTCTCCCGAGATACCAAGAAAAAAAGCTCTTGATTTTCTTCATACTTTAGCCTCCTCCAAAAATATATTGTACTGGAATAGTCATGGTGAAATGATGTATCATCAACGAAGAATTCCTGTCACTAACATAGCAGAGCTCATTGAGTATGC